TCCAAACTCATATTATTCAACTACCAGGCTAGCTTTTTGCTTTGGTGTTGGTGTTTTTTTGTTTAGGTAGCTTGCATCAATCAACTACCAGTGTCCCCTTTCCCATGGATGGCTAGTGGATGATTGAGAGGCAGGGGGTTCAACTGAATGCCCAAAAACCGATTCCTATTGACGTTTTAGTCGATGGTTCGAACGTCTATACATTTATCCATTATAGTTTAGTGGAACCAACAGTCAGCCTGGGTTGTGGCTGCCGCTCAACCAACAAAAGGTCCACGCGCTGAAGATCTGGCCGATAAAAGCCAACTGTGCATCCTCAGCTTGTTCACATCTCTTTCCTTGGCTAGGTCCCCCAGTAGTGCCATTTTACTCTTTTTGGGGGGAGGGCGCAGAAAAAAGGGTACCCTTATTCTAACCTCTTTGCTGAAAAACCTGATCTACAGCCAAGCGCTCGGGTACACCCCGTGGGCGCACTACGGCCAAGGAATCTGGGCCCACCTTTCCTTCATGCTCCCCGTGGACGCTGCCAACGGCGACAACCCCCGCGGGGACAAAACGCGGCGTCTCATGTTGGCTCGGGCACCTATCTTTGCTCTCGCCATCAAGTTCTCCCATGACCTGGAGTTGATCACGGGTGGTGAGGGGTTCTCCACATGTTATTCGAATGGAGACAGTGAGTTGCAACGGTTCAACCCTTACATTGAGGTTAACCCCTGCTCTCCATCGCTCTCCTGGAGGAAGCGCGCCTTCTTTCGGCGCGACCAAGCGCGAACTGGAGCGATTGGCTGCTCCTAGCACCCCTACGAAGACTGGTGGATTCAGCCCGGAGGTCGCCAGGCATCGCCTTGTCAGCAACACCTACGCTGTGAAGGTGCAGGAGGCTGGGTCATCGATCCCATTTGCACTTGAAAATGAGTACCCGAAATATCCGGGTTACATCATGGAAGAGCATCTGGCACCATCTACCATGTTCCTCGACATCGACAAGATGATCGGAAAGTACAAACAGGAGTGGATCACGAACCCCGAGAGTGATGTGCTTCCTAGCCTGAGCAGGCCCAAGACCTCTCACCTGACTACGTATGACCAGAACGCCCTCGAAAAAGAGTGGGTAGGTTGGGGAAACCAAATGTTCAGGAACGTCATCCTGACCGTATTCCCGGAATTCGCCCTCACATGCATCGATTCTGATGTTCCGACCATACCGTCGGTGTTGAAGGGCCTCCTGCCTATGAGCACAACCGGAATCACTGGTATCCTCGCCGCAATGGCGGCGGGATGGGGGCCTCCCACATATCTGGAGGAGCCAACGATCAAGGCCAACGCCCATGTCTTCTACGACCTTTGCTTTGCATCGCGCGGGAAGACCAAGAAGGGCTCGTACATCACGGCGGATGAATTCAGTGCGCAATTGGACATTCTCCGGTCCACTGACAGTGGGCCGCGAAAGGGATCCACCCCGAAGGTCCAGTTCCACTGCCCGTATGGGGAACATGATTACCACATCCCCATCGCCACCCTGGTCGAAGAGGCTACACGGCTCATTCATGACCGCGAGAAAGCGGTTGGAAGGGAGGCCATGGAGTATGACACCTGCATCTTTGCGACCCGCCTCCATGACCTGGCCGATTGGGATGAGAAAAAGCAGGTGTCGGTCATCAAGAGCAACGCGCAGACCCTCATCCACCTCACCCTGGAAAGGCTTGAGTCCGTGAGGAGGGCTGGATCGAACGTGGTGATCCTCATTTCGGTTGCGTCGTGGCTTCAGCCCGCACGTAATACAAACATGCTCGGCGTCATCACGACCTTCATCAGGGCAGCAATGAAGAGGAACCTGATCGTGGTTCCTGCGGATTTCGCTTTCTGGGGCGACCACTGTGTAGGCAGTTCCGGCGCCCCCGCGAACAAGTACAGGGCTGCATTAGCGCTCCCGGCACTCGCCAGCGCGGCCGTGGACATCTCGTGGACGCTACACCGCGTCATGAGTACGGCCAATGCTGCGAAGACGTTGGGCTTGCTGTACAAGAAGACCATGTACCCACCCGACGAGGACGCGAAGGTGAAGGCGGAGAGGATTCTCCAGACCAAGGTCTGGGATGATTCACTGACTTACTCTACCGCCCCGTCAGCGAAGATCGCCGGGACAGATAGCTCTGGCCAATCGCTTGACGTGGAGATGACTGATGCGGCATCCGAGGTGACGCCCCCCGCACAGGTGGCGGCTCCCTCTGAAGCGAAGGCCCCAGCCCGTCAGGCCGAGCCCAAAGGCCCCACACCGAAGACGAAGCCGCCACCGACGCGCCCTGTCTCGCCACCAAAAGCCTCGCCCACCAAGGCGAAGGGGCCCATCGACATTAGAAGTGTCCCCAAGGCCCCTGTCCCTACCGTGCCCGCAAAGGGTGGCATGCCAGCTAGATCGCCGGATCCCGGTTCTACGGCTGCCAAGGGTGCCCCTCCCGCTCGGGCGTCGAATACCCGCACTTCCGGGGGAAGTTCGCCGGTTCCTGAGCCAGCTGACCCACCAAAGGCCCTCTGTTGGGGGGGCCCATTGCCCAAGTCTGTGCTGACTCCGCCCGGGAAGGACGAGAGCAACTTCCCGCGCCTTGCTACGTCTGAGGCATCTCGCAAGGCTGCAGTGGCGGCCAAGAAGAAGGCTGAGGAGCTGAAGAAACCAGCGGGCAGTGAAAAGAAGGATGTTCCCGCGCTCCCTACCGTCGAGGAGAAGGATGACGACATGGATGTTGACGCCGAGAAGGCATATTGGCGCGGCACGCCGGTAGAACCGGCCGCCCCCGCCACTGCCCCCACCCCTGCCCCTGGAGGCGCGCCGCCCGCGGCGCCAGTGGCCAGGCCGGTCGATCTCAGTGGTGTGGAGAACTTTGAAGACCTCATGGAGACCCTTGATCAGACGACTGACGATGTACCAGACGTCGATTCCTATCCTGCTGCGTCAATGGAAGTAGGGGGGAGCACCGGATCGGGGGGGCTTCCGACAAAGGAGGATCTCTCAGAGTTCGATGAGGTAGACCCCGATGCCCGCACCTCCACCGGGGACCCGGGGGTCTCCGTGGAGGGATATGTCATCACCCCCGACGGTGAGTATTTTGATCCTGACTCGCAGGAGACCTTTCAGACGCTTGAGGCGTGGAAAGCTCAGCGGAGATCGTCCCGACATAGGGTCATCCGGGCTAGCGCCACGGAGTCGACGGACCCGGTGCACGGTGGCCTCGAGGAACCCGAAGAACGGAATCCCAACTACTATGGCGACGACACGGAGCCGAAGAGAGGATCGATCCCCCTTGACGAAGCATTCACCCGGCCCGACAAGTTTGTACTTCATCACATCGCCGCTCGAGAGAAAAAATTCGAGCCGATCGTGGCCAGCTACGCAAACAAGGCGAGGAACTCGGACCAGGTGACTAAAGAGCAGGGTGATCAATCGAGGACGCTGAACGCTGCCATCGCCAAGGGGTGTATGTTGTTGAGGTTAAAGGGAATATGCTTGCTTCCCCGGCGCCGGGGGCGCACTTCTGGGTTTGGCGGCACCTCAACGGCCGTGGTGTGCGGGATGCAGCGCCGTATTGGTCGTTTGCTGTTGGTATGGGCATCTGTTCTTTGGAGGGTACCAGTTTTTTGGCTCGGATTTAAAAGGAAGCCAAAAGGAAAGCCACCATTTTGGGGCCCCCTCTTTAAAAAAAAAGCCCGCCCGTATGCTGCGGGAAGGGCATGGGAGGACAACTCACTCCCTGCTGTTGGCCAGCAAATCGCAGCCACGGGCAGATTGGATCGCGACCTCGCGAAGAGTTGTAGCAGCGTGCTAGCGCTCAAAACGATACCCAAAACGATACCAAAACGAAGCCCCCGCAACTGTGGCTGTCGCGGTGCACGGGGGGTGGTTTGTCCCTTTACGTAGCGTAGCTTCTGCTGCTCCGCTTCCTACGTTTGCTTGTCCTTCTCCTTCCTTTTGCTCGTCCTGCTCTTCGTCCCATCCTCGCTCCGTTCCTAGTCTACTGCTTGCTTTCTGCACTAGCTCTTCCTCTTGGCTTGCTTTACTTTTGCTTTACGGAAACTTACTTATGTTCAGACACGTATCAGAACGTGTGGTTTTGCCTCCATCGCGGAAGTTCGCGGAAGGGCGAGGCGGAAGGCGATTTTTGGAGCAAGGAATATTGGACAACCCTCATGTATATATGAGTAGACACAGAGAGAGAGAGAGAAAGACACACATATCTGGGAATAGGCACGCGTGTATAGCATATGTTCCCGGGTCCAGGGTTCCAAGGGGCTAACTCCCTGTCAGCACCCTGCCAACTCCAAACCCAGCCGATACTCGGTCTAAACTATTCGCCCCCACAACCAACCCAAAACCCCAAAACAAACCCTATGTATATGTGCACAAGTGTAGGCACTTATATATTGACACATGTATAATACACACGTACATATGTGTTGATACATATATTTAATATATATATATTTATATGGTACCCCCCCCTGGATCTTATGTATATACATATACAGCCATGGTTCTGGCCTTCAACCGCTTTGGTTGTTAACTCTCCCCCTGCGAGACCTGGCTGCCAGGAACGGTGCAGGTACCCTGGGCGCGGGCGCAAAGTCGCGCCGGCGAGCCTTTTTTCGTGGCAAGTCGATGGGCCGATTTCGGAGAAACAAAGTTACATCAAATAACATGACTACTCTTCGACCAATCAACATCGAATCTGACAGGGGGGTCTTGGAAGACAATTCTCCTTCTAAGAGATGCCCTGTCTAAGGGTTGCCCCTCCATCACTGGACCCTCCAATGCAGAGCCCTGGCCCTTGACGACGGGCCCTCGAAAACCACCTCGGCCCATGGGTTGCCGGCACCCCACCCACGGAAGGCAGGGGCAAACGAGGTGGTGGTTTAGCTTTAGGGTTTTGGGGTGTAAGGCTTAGGTTTAGGTCCCCCAGTAGTGCCCTTCTCTCCCCTTTTTTGGATGGGAGGGTTCCCCTACTAAAATAGACCACAGAATAAACGGGTACCAACTTATTCGAACCTCTCAAATCTGGAGGACCTAGAGGTTTAGGGCTTAGGTTCTGGTCCTAGGTAGGTTTAGGTTTCATAAGTCGTGGTTTTCGGTTTAGGGTTTGGTTTAAGGTCTAGGTTAAGGGCCCAGGGCAGGCTCAGGTTTACGCTGTGGGCCTAAGCTTGGGTTCAAGTTTAGGGCTTAGGCTACAAATCACATGGGGAGCGTCTGGGTGGGTTGAGTTCAGGTTTTCCCCTTAGAGACAGCCACGAGTTGAGAGCACTGTGGCCCAATTGGGGCAGATAGGTGTGCAAGCAGAGCAGACACACAAAGAGACAGAGAGGCAAAGGGGCCCAGAAAGACAGGGAGGACAGAAAGCGAAGGATCAAATGGACGACGACCTGCTCCCATGCCAATCTCCATTTCCCAAAGGCATTTTGTCTAACCCCACGCGCCACGTGCAGAAGAGATGCCCTTGCCAGAAGTCTTGCGTCGTTCTGCCTGCCCTCAAACGGGGGGGGATGCCAAGCTGTTGTGGATTTGGAGGAGGACTTGGAGCAAAATTGCTAAAATCCCGCAGGAGTCAGGACCGGGTATTGTGGAACATATCTTTTTGGGGGTGTATGTATGTTCTTTTCCAGCCAGTGGCTGCCAAACAAAGCACACATGCTAACGGCCCAACAACCAACCAATCAACCAATCAAGCAACCAACCAACCAACCAACCAACCAACCAACCAACCAAACAAGAACGGTCCCCTTCTTTGGTGTCGTGCTAACCTGCAGAGCAACATTCATGGAAAGTCAACCAGGTGGGCGATTAAAGGGGTGTTGCTCTGCAGATGAAATCTCGACCCTTGAAATGGGCCGCCCGTCCCTTGAACAAGACCCCCGAGAAGCTTTCACGGAGGATGCCTTGAGACATGGCCAATTCAGTCCATGGGGTGAAGTTATCACAACTCGATCGAACCGGAAGACTCTGTTGGGAAACTTCCTTATGCGATTGGTTGGCTGGTTGCTTGGTTGCTTGCTTGCTTGGTTGCTTGCTTGCTTGCTTGGTTGGTTGGTTGGTTGGTTGGTTGGGTGGCTTCTTGGTTGGTTGGTTTTTTTGTAGCCGATTGATTAGTCGGTTACCTGTAGTTAAACTCCTTCCGGCCTGCGCCAGGCTCATAGAGCAGCCCCAGGAGAAGGTGCTCACTTCGGAGAGCAAATCGGATCGTCGCAAAAAACCGAGCTTGCCATGCCCCGTAGGCCCTCGCATGGTTGTTGTTGGGAAACACTTTGCATTTTTGCTTATTGTTGTTGAGTGGTAAATCCCCACTTAACTGCTAAAACTTCAAGTTGTGCTCCCCTTCCAACGTCAACCAAGCTTGGGATCCACAATCTTATTTCAGAGTTTCAGGTTTTGAATGTGTTGCAGACTTTGCCAAAAAGGTGCCACGATCAAGAGATCTGTTCCTTTGAACCGTTTAAAAGGGGTTTAGACAACGTTCAGGTTCCTACTCTGGGAGTTTTGACCATGTCACATATGTGAGGCAAGGTCAATGTTTTCAGCCTATGGTAGCTTAAGGAAACAATACCATGAGGAACTGGGAGTTGCTCCCTGAAATCCCATGTTTGTTGGGAACATGTATAAGGTGGTTCCATCCCAAACCAAAAATGTTCAAGGGGAAACGTAAAACCACTATATCACCAGTACAGGATACGCGCTCTCATTTGAGGGTATTGGTCTGAGGTGGAACTAGTCTTAGATATTCGGATGCTGAAGCCGCTAGCTGTTCTTTCAGGAGAGCCTTGTAACCTACGGTCTATTTAAACCTCCTCACGACGTCTTGAAGTTTGCCTTCATTCGTGGTGGCTGGAACCAAAACAAACCTTTAAGCTGTTAGCACCCGGTATTTGAAGCAGTGAGAGCAGCTCTTTCCGTGAGTCCTTAGACTATGTTTGGGGCTGCGCAAGTAAAGCGCAAGTGAAGCGCAAGTGAAAAAGAGTGATGATTCATCATCATCATCATCATCATCATCATCATCATCATCATCATCATCATCATCATCATCATCATCATCCCAACTTGGGATAAGAGTTTTCATACGGGTTTATTTTTCCAGCTTACATGGGGCTTCTTACTTCGCAAGTAGTTACGGGAGGCACCGCGACCTGCATGATTTGACGTATGTTCATGATGGCATCGGTTTAGCAAGGCAAGCGAGCTCAGCTAGACTACAGCAACCTTTTCCTGTGTTTACATGTCTTTTCTTGGGGAGCCCTTGTCTTGCTTGCGCGACAAACTACAGAAAAGACACCCCCTCCGGCATTTTGGAAGTTTCCCCATGAGACAAGCCCATGTAAAATCATCGTTTTTTGTCTAGGGAGCTGCTGCATAGGATTGTGGTGGGCAATTTGCTCAGCCATCGACCAAAATGTTGAACGGCTGTGTGGGCGTCCCAGGAGCAGTTTCATGTTGTTTGGGTTCCATATTTTCAGTTTGCTGAATCTTCCGGAGGCTCATTTACGGTTTCGAGCGTAGCCAAATTCGCCACGGGGAGACCAGGCTGCCCCTGATATCAGGTTGTTGAATTATTCCGTTATGTCTGCAAAAGTTATGATGAGCTCACCTAAGACAACAGGATGGAAGGTTCCTTACTTAGGGACTCCTTATGTTCAGTTGTGAAGTGTCGTTTGTTGCCCATAATTTATTGCGCCACCTTGTGCATGTTTTGATTTTGCAAAAGGATAGCAAAGCCGCAAGTGATCATTAACCCTCCCAGTTGTTTCTCCCTTTTCAAAGAAACCAGCCATACGAAATTCTACTGGCAACTAGCTGGTGTTTTAGATCCTTATATCATGAAGATGACGATCATGGCACCTGCCACACTATCTGCATATTATAACCATGTTAACATTTTATCCAAAAGTTAGGAGGACCCATTGAAGGAAATGCACGACATGCCATGGCATTCAGTGCCCTCTCCCCTTTCCCCTCTTTCCTCCCACTAGGGCCTTCCATCCCCTGAGTGTTTTTTAGGTTTTTCAGGTCTCGTGGGGGGTTTTGCTCTGAGCCCAGATTTTGCGGATGCCAGCGGCTGGAGGGGCTGGAGGGGATGGCTAGGGTGCTAGGGGCTGCAGGAAATGATCCGAGAGCTTTTTTGTGGAAACCCGGGGCTCGGGGAAGCTGAATGACTCATTGCGTTCGCCAGGCCGACGATCCTTTTGCCATGGCTCTGAAGCAGTGGGGCATGTAATCGATCGGGGTCGGCTTTCACTTAACCCAGGGGTCACTTCCTGGCAACCATCCTCCGGGTGGGAAATATGCCGGAATTTGTAGGACGCGAGACGCCGATATACGTGCTTTGTGCCACACCCCGCATGTAACACCCATTCTTGTGAGCAACCAACAGAAGCCACGAAGAAGCTAAAGGGGAAATTTCGGTTGCCTACCTTCTGAATTGCCTAGTTCGGCGTTTCTTGATTTCTTGTCAAAGCAAATCGACCCAACAAAGAAAGGTCAAAATCTCATTTCGAGAAGCTGAAAGGGTGATTAGTTGGCACCCACAAGACATGGGGTGAAGCCCTGAATCTGCTCCCCCCGATCTGTCAATGATCCTAGCGCTGCACTCATGCGCAGGCAGGCACGCGAGTCTTTCCACTACAAACAAGATGGTTTTCTGTGGTTTGCCTTAGAGCGCCACTGTTCTACCGTTGCAGCAGGGATTTTGGATCAAAATGGTTGCTGGTTAGCGATTTTCCGTGTTGCTTGCTGCATGGCGCGGCGCGGTTCCGAGCAATGCAACTCGGTTCAAAGGCATTTTCCACACCTCTCCGGAGTGTTGGAGAGAGCGGAGTGGCCGCTCAGAACGACATCCACCTGCAAAAAGATGCACAAATTGCAAATATGAAACATCAACCTACATTATGGTGAGCCCGTTTAGCCTCCATAGAATATGCAGATGCATGACGTGCGCAAGCCGGATGGACACTCAAGAGGAGTTCAACATGTTCATGTTTGACACATGGGCGGAGCGGCTAAACAGACGAGTAACATGTCATGTCGCTTGCTCTTCGTGCAGTCGGGACCCCCGACAGGAGAATGGGAAAGAGGTTGTCAGCGTAATATTTTGCCGACAAGCCTCCTACTACCTGGTGTGTCCTGTTTTGAGCAGGCCTCAGACATACCCGCAACTTACATATGCATATATATATATAGGCATTGTCATGTATATACGTATATATTAACCACGCTTGCAGATATGTTCAGACGTGTTTCCAGTCAATCAGCCTCTTTCATGGTGCTGTACACATAGATTGTGCCATAAGTGTCAAATGAGTAAAAGTATTTGTTGGCCCTCGTATTACCCTGAAAGATGTGAGAGCAACTTGCGGCCACCCGCTCGAGCTGTCAAGGACAGCTGCAGCCCCTCACCCTCCGGTGGGATGTTTAAGCAAGAGCTCCAGATGCTTCTGAGACTGCAGCTCCCTCCCTGAGATCCTGGCCATTTCAGTCGTAAGCCAAAAGTTCAGACTTTTGTTTGTCCAATCCACACGCTCGGAAGCAACGTTTGCGCTCGCACCCTCAGGGGTACAACGAGCCTCATGGTCTCATTCCACCCGGAAGGGAGAGGATCCAACCAAATCGCCATGAAGACTAAGGTGACTATTGCTAATAGGGGCTCCTAGCTCCGCATTGGATACAGATTCTTAAAACGCATCCCTGTCCCCTTGCGCTTCCATGTTTCAAGGCGCACCATGGCTCTTGAAATGGTCTACCTTCTCTCCCTTTCGGAGCCAGGTCTGGGTGAAACAGGTCGCATTTTCCGAATTGGACACACAAAAGATGAGTTTTTTGCTGGGTCAACGGCAACCAAGTCGTTTACCAGGTCTGGATTCCAGCTTCTCTTGCACCCAGTTCTTGAATCCTCGGGTCAGGACTGCACCGGGGAAACTAGGTTCCCCAGCTAGGTGCCCTTTCTCACCCATGTCTTTTTTGGTTGGGAGGGTTCCCCTACTAAAATAGAAAACAGAAAAAAAGTTTGTATACCCTTATTCTAACCTCTCAAATCTGGAGGACCTAGCGAAAAAATCAAACAAATCCTGCGGTGCTCTCGGGAGCACTGGACATCAGCACGACAGTGCCAATATCTCCGCCTGCGCAGGCAGTCTCACACCCGGCAAGTCCTTGATCGATCGCGAAAATTGACCCCAGTGGGCAACCTCCCCCATATGGGGGCCACATAGGGTCTATTTTGTAACCTCCTTCTTTCGGGCTTGGTTACCTCTTTCAATGGCATAAAACAAAAGACAAAGGCGAAGGTTTTTTTCAATGGGACACAATGGTCAAAGTCAACCACTGAATTCAGGATGGAATCCCATTGTCTACGTAGTTGATTTCTTTCTGCAAGGCGTCGTTATTGATGATCAGGTGAAGGATGTTTCTTCTTTCTGGGGTTCAAAAAGAGTCCGGAGATTGCTGCAGTGGGATTGCTGTGTTGGCTGATGCTGGCTTTGTTCAAAACAGCTTGAGCTGGGGGGGGGAGTTTTTGCTGTTTGTGGTAGTGTGTTGTTCACACCAATTGCGAGATGTTTCTCTGTGCCGCATGCTGGCCCGTTGCACGCAATGTAGGGATCTTCACGCGCAGAACTTCAAAGGGGATCGTAAGGACTGGAAACGACACATGCGCAGAACTTGCTGTTCCTTTGGACCACCAATGTTTTGGATGTTCGGCACGCGAACTTCGAAGCTCGACTTCGCGACGATCTGGGACCCGCCGGCATCCACGCACTCTCCGGCCAGTTTTCTCGGTGCGGTGCGAACCGTCTGCGGCTTAGCTAGGCCAGCCAGAAGATATCGTTCTGTGTGTGTGTGTGTGTGTGTCTTTCCGAGGGATCTACCACTTCGGTATCACAGGGTCAGTTTCGAACAAACAAGTTAAGGAGGGCATTCACCTTTCTTTTGGAAGTTGAGGGTTCCCTTTTCAGATTGATTGAAGGACAGCTACTCAAATCAGCCTTTTTGCGGCCCCCAGACGGTGAGCGCCCCTGTCTCCAGATGAATCTGGCCGGAAAACCAGGGCTGGTTTGGCTCCTGAGGACCTGCTGGCACTGAGACGGCCACCCGACAAAGGTTGATCTTCCAGGTACCCCACAGGCAAATTGGCATGCAGCGCAACAGGTGAAGAGGGTTCCGAGACACAAACGGACAGACAGACAGACAGACAGGCAGGCAGGCACGCAGACAGAGACAGACAGACAGGCAGACAGACAGCCAGCCAGACAGCCAGACAGAGACAGATGGACAGTTGTGCCAAGCCTCGAGCTGATGAGAGACTTCAGACCCCTCAAGCCCTTACCCTTGACCAATTTGGGCTGCAACACCTCCGAAAGGGGCCCCCAAAAGCGGGGGGGGGGGGAGTGCCCTTCGATTCAGGGTTCCATTTCTCCCATCGGAACTTTTAAGTTTTGGTTTACTCTGAGCGTCAAGGCATGGAACCCTGCTTTGATTCGTTGGGTTGCAACCCGTCCTCAGCAGTCCGTCTTTTCCCAGGGGCCTAAGCCCGGCCCGCCCGAGCTTTTTCGATGTGCTCTGAGAGCCCGGTGCACAGACTGAGAAATTCACGAAACAGGCGAGCTCACCGCATGGGGAGAAATTGTGTCGTGGTCTAACCATCCCAAAATGGTAACACTTCACTTCTTTTTTGGCATGTGTTTATGGGGTTCAGATTTTTTGCAGGGGGCTGCCAAGAAGCACAGTTGTTTGCTTCCATACCAAGGGGTCAGAAGTTGAAGGAACAGACAAATGCGCCCTGGTAGCTGGGGAGCCATGCCCTTTCATCAGCGAGCCGAATGCTTTCCAATCTTCCGAAGGAAGCCATGGGGGTGCAGAAGCGTGGAGGTTTGTGGGTGCCCCCATGCTGTGGCAAGGGAAGCCACCACTGTTCTGCGATTTGTGAAGGGCTGACAGGGGCTCGGTGCGTGTTTCGGGATGCTTCCCCAGAATTGGCTCCCCTTTTGTTTTGTTGCTTGTTGTTGGGTCCCTTTGCTTTGCACTCACCAGGCAACACAGATCATTTTTGGCTGGGGTCCCAATTCCAGCCTAGGCTTAAGGTCTTTGCTTTTCAGGTGGTTGTTCTCTTATCACTCTCCAGCTGATTGGGAGGACCAGAAGCCCCACCAGAGGCATCAGCCAGCGCATTGGAGCACCAGGATCTACCACCTGCCAACGAGTTTGTTCACTTGGGGACCAGCCTCAACAGTGACTAGGTCCCCCAGTAGTGCCCTTTTACCCCTTCTTTTGGGGGAGCGTTCCCCTACTACAATAGCCTACAGAAAAAATGGGTAATAACCCTGATTCTAACCTCTCTACTGGAGGACCTAGGTGAGGTGGCGTTCATTGTAGGAGCGTGCCACCTTTCGGCAAGCTAGTTGTTCTCTTTGCAGTGGTCCGCCTAGGTTTCTTGAGATATTTCGCTCATAGATCGCTTGTCCACGCGCATGCTGGTGGCTAGCACTCGGAAGCCCCAAACGGAGTAGCTCCGAGGCCCCGAAGGATTGCATATTCAAAGACCAGTGGAAGTCGCATCTACCGACTTCAAGATGTGTGTGTGTGTGAGAGTCCTTCAAAATTTGCATAAGAATTTGTTGTATTGTCCCCTGTTGGTTATAAAAGGAATCTATCAACTATTGGATGTTTTTCCATGGGTCTTCAGCCAATGGAGGTGTGTGTGTGTGTACTCATATTTGTGTGTGTTTGTGTTTGTTCAGGGAGAAACCCCAAAGGGGTGCTTTTCTAAACCCACTGGAGGTTCTATCCATTGAGTTTCTGCAGATCCATTGACCCCAAAAACGCAAACCACGCCCGAAGGTGCGTCTTCTGCGGCTTTGGCTCTAGGGCACAGGGGCAAAACGCGAATAGGCAGACGGAATTCTAGCAAGACAGGTGGCGGATGTGAACCTGTCAAAACGACCGATCCAGCCAAATGGTTTACTAGGTGCCCCAATAGTGCGCTTTTACTGACTTTTTTGGGGGAGGGGTTCCCCTACTAAATTAGACTGCAGAAACAAGGGTCTAACCTCTCTATTGAAGGACCTAGGTTTGCTAGCTGACCTGACTTGCGAGTTGCCCTGAACCAACTTAAGTCCATGACAGGCATCCAGCTTCCCTGCAGATCACCCAAACCTCGACCTGTTGACCTTTTGGTTTTCCCCGTGTTGGTCTATGTTTAAGTCTGTGAAGATCCCCAAAGGTTGACATTTTTGTTCAAGTCCCTTGGGTTGCAAATGAGTAATCCGCAATTTGTTTACGCGTTTTTCCTGAAGGACACGGGCCGCAACAGATTTGAGAGAAGGTGAAGCGCATGTTTAGCTGGGTCCTTTGCTTGCGGAGTGGAGGGAATCCGCGGAATGGCATTGGACGCCTCCGTCTCACATGGCGACGCCGGGGTCTCGGATTGCCTTCTCAAGGGCCGGGGCCATCTGTTGGAAACCCAAAGAGGGTCCCTGCCCCCCAAAGGCTAGGTCCCCCAGTGCCCTTTCTCACCCATTTCTTTTTTGGATGGGAGGGTTCCCCTACTAAAATAGACCACAGAAGAAAAGGGTACCCTTATTCTAACCTCTCAAATCTGGAGGACCTCGAAGGAGAATATGTTCCAAGCAACTGGGTTTTGAGTTCCATGTTGCGCTGTGGGTGAATAATTGCCACATGGCAACTGATTTCGTCTTGGCGCTCCGCTTTTTGTGGGAAGTCGGAACAAACGGAAGAGGAGCGAATTGGACGTTGAGCGGGCTGAGTATTTATCAGCTGTTTTTATTCGGGACCTAAGATTCTGTTTGCGCCCCGCTGCGAGCATTCTCATGGAAAACAAAAGGTGTGGACTTGTTGTTTGGCCACTCAACTACTCGTGTTTGTTGTTGGTTTTGTTTTTTTTGACTTCGGGCCGAATCATCATTCACAGCTGGTTTGGTCAACCAATCAAAGGGTTCCTTCCAAGGATGTTCCCTTGCCAGACGGGGCTGAGTTCCACGCTACTCGTTTTCTGGGGGTCGAAATATGGTCACAGAATTGGGCGTAGATACGGGTGTGGATGATATCCGTTGCGGCGTGTGGCGAATGTATTTCAATGAGCCACCTCAAATGTGGTTGGTGGACATGACTCAGCGAAATGATGCCCAGCAAAGGCGTCCCAATTTAAAACCGTGCCAATGAGCTTTGGTCGCCTCAGGTCACGCACAGCGGAGCAAGCGCTGGGCGAGGTCACGCCGTTGCGAAGCTTGCCGTAGTCTCCTTACCTGTGTGTTTTTTGTTTTGTTTTGAGGGCACTCTGTTCAGGGAAACCAAAAGAAACAGCACCAGTTTGAACGCCCCCTATTTCGACACATGCCCTGGTCGTTGCCTCGCCAATGCAGATTACCACGATGTTACTCGGAGTAGAACGAGCTTACCCATGAATCTAGGGGTACCTTCCCCATTCTTTCCAGGGATCCTTCTTTTCAGGAAACCATCAAAACCCACTGGAAACAGCCGGTTTTCGAAAAGAATGATGGTTGAAAAGAATGGGGAATCAACCCCTTGAATGAAGGCTCCTCAGAAAATTACTTTCGAACTTGCGAATTGCCAGTACCCTCCTGAATAACACGGAACCCACCAGAGGGTTTGTTGGACAGGAAACTCGTCCAAACCAGGACCCCTCTGTCAGGTGTCCTTCGGGTCCGGGATGGGAAATTGGGCTTCCTCTAAGTGGTGACGTGGGAGATATAAGAAGATCTATGGGCTGGAAGGTGCGAATTCGGGGGGAAGAGCAATTCCACACGGTGACGGTGGAAACACATATCCTTGCTCCAATGAAGCGGACAAGAAGCAATGGGGAAGCCCCCTGTCCATTTCAATGATTGGAAAGAGGCGAGTGACATTTCCGCATTCAAAGCCATAGCAAAACGAGTGCAATTTTTAAGGCCCATCCCGTTTCAATGGCTCAGTAATTACCCTCAAACAAGTTGCGGGCTATATCAGTCCTTGGCATGGCTCTTGACAACAGGAAGTTGCCACAGCAAATCAGTTTGGGGAACCCGTTTTCTTCTTCAAACAGTTTCCATGTCCGTCCCAGATTCCCACCAGTACTCAAGTAAAGGCCCAAGAACGCCAACTTTGGTCTTCGGCAACCTGGTGGTCACTGGACGCTGCCGACTGGCAGGATGTCCGCGGACGCCTGCGAGACTTGGTGATGCGCTGCCCGCCCCGGGCCTCAGCTGTGAGAGGCGAACCAAGACTGCGCCCAAAGGAAATAGGTTTTTAGGTAAGGTCATTTAACTTTAGCAGCTGTCGCCTTTCCCGCCAAAGAAAAAAAAAAAACAAGAAGAAGAAGAACATGAAGTGGGTTTTAGGTCATTGAAATTAGCAGCTGTCGCCGCCCCCTGGAGAACAAAAGGAAGAAGAAGACAAAGAAGAAATACACTCCTCGTTGTTGGGTGACCCGTTGATTGGATTCGAACCACTAGTTTCCCTTGTGACTGACCTATATAGGAGTGTGACGACTTGCTGGCTCGATTGGCAGGAAATGAGTTGGAATGAACGTGACTTTCTCCCAGACCATGGGTGCCGTCGTGTTTTCGGGATGTCCTTCAAAAAGGACATCCAATGTGTAAGCAGACTTGGGGACCCTTGATCCATGTCAAGGAGGGAAATTTAACAACTGACCACCATTTCGGAGAGATCCCCCCAAAAATAAAACAAGACAAAGACCTGAGTCACCCCCTAACAACAACAAGCACAAAACGGAGAGTCCCCCCCCAAAACAAACACAAAAACAAACAAACAAACAAACAAACAAACAAACAAACAAACAAACAAACAAGCAAACAAGATAAACAAAAGTCAAGTCCTCGTCATATTTTCGTTCCGGCCCTGGGCACTCGCGTCTTCTTTGGCGGAGCGAGGTGCGCTGTGCTGGAGGGACTTCGTTGGAGTGTTCTGCGCAAGGCCGAGCTGGGGCCAAAAACGTGCACCGGACCTTGGCTGCCCGGACCTCTCAAGGACAGATTCATGTTTTTTCTTTGGCTTTGGCCCGATATTTTTGGGTGAGAGGCAGAAAAAGGATGGAAGCGGTCCAGTGTGGGGGTCCAGATTACCTTCTTTGTTTGTGCTTCTTTTTGTTGAGGAGTTCCAACATTTTCCCATTCAACCAGAAAACAAGAATAAATTGTGCGGGTCTAAGTCTGGTTATGAAGGTCAAAAGGTGACGGGTTTAGCCACAAATAGGCGCGGCTGCCCTTTTAGTTCTTCACGCGGCTTTAGACTGCTGTTGTTGTGTCTACTTTCTGGCTCACTTGCAGTGGCTTCGTGGTTTCTCGGGGCAACTTAAATTGGACTGGCTAAGAAAAGGGGCCCAGCCACAAAACCCCACAAAACCCCAATGTGTCTTCTGCATTTCCTTTTGGAGCCCCAGGCAATTTTTGCTGGAGAAGTGAGTTAGGCCAGGCTCATGATACTGTGGATGCGCGAAATCCTGCACCATCCAAGATACCCTAGAATGATTGGATTCCCATGTATGGAGTTGTTGAACAGAAGGGGGGGGGGGCAGGGCGATCAAACAACCCTGGTCGTTTCTTTCGTGGAACCTTGGTAAGTCAAAGGACCTCGAGCTCAAACGTGTTGGCTCTCATGAGCATGCGTGTAAATGGTTTCCCATTGTTTCCAAGTGGTGCGAAATGGATCTCGCAACCATCCACAGTATTATTAGAACATCGCCAACCCCCCGGACCAGAGTCTTCGGTCCGCTTCTAAAAACTTGGGAGAGGATGCCGAAGGATTTTGTCCAATGATTTTTTGTGTGTCTTTGTCTCTGGGTCTGTGTCTGTGTCCGTGTTTGTGTCTGTGGTCTGTGTCTGGTCTATATTTGCCTTCGGGGCGGCTTGCTTTTTCCCTTGCTTCTTGATTTGCTTGCTTGCTTGCTTGCGTGCTTGCGTTGTTTCGTTGTGCTTTGCTTGCGCGCTGTCCGTGCTGGATCTCTTGCCACTTCGCAGGTGTACACCGAGCGGTACCCGGGCGGGCCGGGGCCTTGGCATTTCCAGTGAGGAGCCCGTTAAGGCGAAAGCTGGACCCAGTGGCCCAGTGGTGCCCTTTTTCTCTTGTTTTGGGGAAGGGTTCCCATTTAAAGTCAACCACCCCAAAAAAGGGTGCCCCTTGTTTCCCCACTGGGCATCTGAGTGGCGCCATAAAGTTTGCCCGTTTCAGACAGTTTGCGTTTCCAAGCGTAGGTGTCATTAATTTCAGGCGTAATGCCCATTGGGTTAAAGCCTGAGTACCCGTTACCTACGCCATGTCAGGAATAGTTAAGTGCTTTGATAGGCGCGCGGCTAGTGTCAACACAGTCAATGTCAGAAGTAGGGTGAACCGCCATTGTGCTTGAATGCGTCCTGAGCTCTCTCTGTGCACTTGTATGTTGACTCAATGCTTGTGCGTGTTTGCCTTTTCTTTCCTTGCCTTCCAGTTCCTAACTAAGTAGGCCTAGAACATCTAAGGTTTCCGCTTGTGCTTGTGCTCCAAACCCACCCTTAAGCCATCCATAAAGCAAACCAGATCGCAAAGCCTGGGCCCTTTGCCTGTGGGACCCAACCATGGACCCAAGCCAATCCCAAAACAACCTGACACACCGCTCCAAAACCAACCGTTGCCAACCCCAACCCCAAAAACCCGACCTGCGCCCAACCTTGAATCTGAATCAAACCGAAACCAGCAGGGCCGTAACACACCGGTACAGGGCGACCCCCAACCCATTCCAGCCCAGACCACATATTGAGTGGAATTTTAATAGGGCACCACGTCAAAAGTGGTTGGTGGACATGAACTTCCACCGAATTTTATCCACCATCCCCTAATCAAAATTCACACCATCTGGTAGGGAAACCAAACGGAGAACCGTTGCGCCAGGGTCCAACCTTAAAAAAGTCAGACCCACAGCCGGAGCTGTTAGGTTCCAAGGAAGATCAATCGAGGTTGTGGAGCTCCACTCGTGGTTTTGAACAGGGCTCCTTAAAAGATCTCCATGTTGCAAACATTTGAAACATGTTGTTTTTTCCACCCAAATGAAGGGAAACCACCATTTACAAGGCAATGTTCAGGTGTGTAAGGATCCCTGTTTTGAACAGTAACTATCTAAAAGTCTTGGAAGCTGACACTCGGAAGACCGTCCTCTTGAAACGGCCTCACGTGCATTTTTCTTGTGGAAAGGGGGCCACGCGAGTCGCCTCAGAAAGTCGGCCCAACGCGAGAGCGGGCTGACTAGGTTCGTGGGTGCGAGCTCTTTGCCTGTGCCGGGCTCAGCTTTCGCAGATCTTGCGCCATGCTCAGAAGGCCCTTGGGCTTGCGGAGGGATGGGGAATTTAGACCAGGATTCTTCCTAAGGATGTCACCATGACGCCGATTTGTGGCCATGGCACATATGGAGCCCAAAAGCGGGGATTGCCTCACAGAAGGAGAGTGGCTTTGACAAACCATCCTAGGAGCATGACTTTGGCGTGTAGGCTATACTGGTTTGCCCGCTTCATGAATCGGAGCCCAGGATTCATACCGTCTGGTTGATTAATAGGGGGCGTCCCTCTTCAGAGAGGGGGCTTGGGGAGTCCTGCAATTTGGAGCCCACCACCCCAGATTGATTCATTGGTCAAGTTGAGTCTGAGGTTAGCGAAGGGCAACTTGAGACTGAGTTGGATAGTGGCTGCCCCCATGGTAGCTCAGCAAGTCCGTTCGCAGCTGCCACATGCCAGCGCATGCGTGTTATCTACGGATATACATGCACAGATTTGCACACAAGTCCATCCATACGAATATGCTAGTTATGTCGAAATGCACACACACACACACACATTTATATATACACATATATGTATATGATCATATATATATATATACACATGTATTGACAAACAACATGCATGTATTATACCATATTTATATCCTATAGCACGTCCACGCCTGGTTGCCGCTCGCGCTCGCGCAGCAACGGCCGTCTCTTAGGCCGCCAAGGCCTGCCTGAAAGACTTGGCGGAGTTCCATGAAGCGCCAGGCGGAGTCTGAGACGCGGTACCCATCAGATATACAGCCATTGGCTCAAATATCCCACGGCAGGACATTACACAGGGTCCCAGAGATTGGGAGATAGAGGCACATAGCGGTAGTGGGAATCATGCACACAGGCTTAGCCCAACCCTGTCATGAAGCCTTTCATTTTGTCGCCCACAGGTGACCGAAATGGGTCTGGCCTGTATGCATGGCCAAACCATGGAAGCTTTCGCAAGACTTTTCCCTAGCCCTTTTGCCCTGTGGGTGTTCAAGTCTGGGCCAGTTTCCCATTCACAGTGATGCACCCTTGGGCCGAGGAACGCCTTGACACAATGAGTGGCATGCCCCCGCCCCCGTCCCCCCCCGCCCCAAACACACAAGAAAAAGCACAGCAGGAGACTCAAAACAAACACACAACAAAAACACAACACAGCAGGAGACTCAAAAACAACACCAACAAACACAGCAGGAGACTCAAAAATACACACAAAATACACGATGGTCGATCTTGTGTCTCTTAGTTACAGGGCTTGTGTTCGGTATGTCTCAAAATATGGGGATCCCAAAATGGGTGCCTGTCCTTTTGGTTTCCCAAGCCCCGAAAAGGGTACCGAGCCTGAAATCGGTAGAAAGGAAGCCCTGCCATGAAGCCCTGCCATGAAGCCCTGCCATGAAGCCCGAGGGCGGGGCGGGGTCGTTATCAGTCGGGCTTTCCCCTTTTCAACTGAGTTTCTCTTATCCTTGGTGTGTGCAGTGGTCTTTATGACTACCTGGCTATGTGAGGTTTCATCAAGATATCCAATAGGTACTAGTTGGAATTTGGCCGGGGCATCGGGGACGCACACAATGTCCGATAAAACCCGCTGAGAACTGATAGCCGTATGTTCCCGTGTCCCCATCTGTTCACCGTGGCTTGTGTGACACGCACAATTTCAGCAACCAGTTCATGCCGGCAATGGTTTGCAAACGGCCCCAGGTTACACATGCTTTGATTGAATAGCAGCAGAAGCAAGTCGACGGCATCGAGGCGTGTTCTTATATGTGTCCGTGCAAAATGGGTAATTGCTGGTTTGTCCCAGGCTCTACTCTATACCGGTTGTTGGATTTTCCTGTGGAAGTTGTCAATCTCAAAATCCAAGCAGTCCGTATGAGAAGAAATCAGCACTGGCAGAACGCCCCTGTCGGCCGAACACCGGAAGCAGTGCCAGCAAGTCATGAAATGGACATGGGCAGACTCACCTGGGCTGAAAAGCCAAACCTTGGTTGGATGCTACAAATAGCCAATGTCTAAACTTCGCAAAAGGATACCCAGAGGGCACGGCTTTGGAGCATTTCAGCATGTTTTGTTCCTCCCCCAGGCACAGGCACACCTTGCATGGTGAGTGGCCCTTGATGCATTGCCTGAGAAACTGCAGCAGGGAACGGCAGCTCTTGCTACCAGAATGGCATCAGGTAACAAGCCGAATGCACAGCTTCCATCAGACCTCTTTGGGGTTCGGTCAACAAATCCCAGCCTTCGTTTGGGAGGACAAAGTTTCTCACCAAACCCAGGCAACTCATACGTGTTCCTGTGTCCATATAGGTAACATATGGATGTAGTTCGAAAACTGGGGGGGGGGGGGCAAATTGGTACCCTCAAAAAAGCAGAAACTCATTGGCCATGGCTGATGATCTGGTCTTTGGTGTGACCGAAGCGCCCAAAAGGATACTTTTGTTTTGGCATCAACTGGCTTTTCAACCTACAAAAGGCTGGACCTTTTGTTCAGGAGAGCAACCCACACATGCAAAAGACCATTTCTCACCATGTGGCTGTGAATTGGACAGGTATTTTGACAAGCACCCAAGGGCTCCCACTTAAATTCAATCTTGACACATCTTTGAAACCAGCTATGATACCGATATCAAGGGAGACCTATGTCTCGCACCGTGCACAAGCCGTGCTAAAGCGGAAGACTTGGCGAGTCCAAGCCTCGTCCGATCTCGCCATGCGCAGGCGTGGGCGGGGGGGGGGGGGGGTTGAGCCGTCCCAGTCGAGTTTGGATTTGCGGCTGGGGGGGCTTTGTTCTATGGGTTCGGTTCATCGTGCTTTCATGTTTTTTTCAAGCATCATACATACACATATATGGTCCAGCTCTCTTTGCATATATATATATATAGTTCCTTTGTGTGGCTGGCGGTTTTCTGGAAAGGCCCGCATCCCTGAAAGAATGCTTGTAAGTTGTTCGTGTGACTTGTCAAGCCCCCTTCCCCATACATTTGCCCGTATTGGCTTCACCACCCTCATCAGGTGTGTCCCCAGTCAGGAAATGACTAAAATCCTTCAGATTGGCCCAAAGTTAACACCACCTAGGATGGGAAGCCCTGCAAGCTTTCTTGGCACATGCTGAAGCTGGTTCTGCCCGGGTCCAGGTATCTCAAAATGGCTTGTTGGCAGGGCGCAAGGGGTGTGATAAGCCGGATGTTTTTGGTTCACACCGAGACCAGGACCGGGCTTCTCGTGGCGTTGATTGAGCAACAAATCAGAAACCCGTCGTTTTCTCGCCACTTCGGGGGTGACTTTTATATTGGTAGAATCATGTTTACAGCACTGAGCAAGACGGGAGTTGGCGGGGTCTGGCAAGCCCTGAGCATGACCCGCGAAGAAGGACGCGACAAATGCCCCATGGAACTTGGAGAGCGTTTGTCAAGGAAACCAACAGGTTTGCCTCTTTCACAGCCACGTCGACCTCTGACTTGGCGGCGTTTTGGTTCGGTCCATTCCAATTTCAAGATGAGCGTTGCCGGCGAAACAAAAAACGCTTCTTCTTTTTGCGAGCCTAGGCCTTGATTTTGACGATTCAGGTGCCCTAGATGACCTATGGAGACTCCAGGTAGAAGACTCCGGGAAGAGTACTGGCTAGCAATGCTTGCAGGCTGCTACTCTCAGATAGTCGTGCTTTCTCTGGTGTAGTCGGATGTTCGATTCGCCAAGTTAGTGGTTTTGGTTAGCCACTGGGTTTTTTCGCCAACAAGGTTCACCCCACTTGGGGACTCAAACAAGATGGGTTATATCCTAGGTTCCCAACAACTTACGAACTTGGTCGAACACCTAAGTTTTGAACATCGGATTAGGGAGAAGCAGACTCGGCCTTGTGGGAATGTGTCAGTGGAAGTTTGAACCCCCCCGAAGCGGTGGCACAGGGCATTCCGAAGACGCGTCACTCGGTTGCGCAGGCTGGCCTTGCTGCTGGCAGCCTGGGGCCTTCATTTCCAGGCGGACGAGAATCTTTGACGGACTAACTCCATTCAGAGGACTCCTATTTCGACGATTGCAGAACCCCCCCATTTTCAGCGGAAAGCCCATCCCGCAAAAAAAGCATGTCCGCATGGCCTATGTTACTCTTGCTGAAAGGTTGCCTTTCTTCATTTTTTGGGGTTGGGGGGGGACCCTTGCTGTTGGCCGATGGGTATTTACCATTGCAGATCAGTGTGCAAAGCGGAGCCCTGGCATTTCACCGGATGTAGGGGCTTCCCTGTTCCATGGTGGGTTTACTTTGGCTGTGATGTCAGCTCCTGACTACATGAAGCACATATTCACCATGAGACACCTCCTTTCCAGAGCATGCTCTGCAGAAAGCCCTGGTATTTGGAGATACCTGTGGAAGTTGAGCCGTTTCCGCAGCCATTTTGAAGGCCGCGAGTCCAGTTCCGTCCTCATTTCAGCGCCATGGCTCTTGCCTTCGTCGCCCCCAGCACCCTCTCGGCCGCCCGCGACATCCGGGCCGTCGACGCCACGAATTTGCGGGGCCAGACGTTTGTGGGCCTCAAGACCTTTGAGGATTGCGATTTGGTGAGCTTGCGATTCTGTGACCACTGGTGGGCCTCAACATGTTTTAACAAAGGGTTGGCCTTAGCCAAGTACGTGCCAGAGCAGCAAGTGTTTTTTGCACATCACCCTTAGACAGGTGAAACTGGGAACTCCCATGTCTCTCAGATATGTTGGCCAAAACTTGTATAGTTCCAATCAGGGGGCTGGCCGCACCCTGCCAATTGACTAAAATACCATACCTTCTCCCCATTGCACACGGAAGCCAACAGAGCCCACCAAGGGTCCTTAGTGAAATTCGTACTATGGGTATGTGCTTTGTTTTTGGGGTGCCCATTTGGGGGTTGGTGTTGAAGGTCGACCAAACACATACAAGGGACGCCAACCATTTTGAAGGTAGCCCTTATATCGGCATCAGTTGGCATCGGTTCCTCTTGTTCCTTTTAGGGAAGCCCGTCCACTTCCATGGTTGGAACTCCCGCAGCACCTAGTAGGTTGTTATCACAGCTCACAGAAGGTGTTGCGAACCCGGTTTTGGTCATTCACAGGAGGTGTTGTTGCTCTTGTTGAGGGTACGCTTTTTCACCCGGGTATCAAGGGAAACAACAAGAGCCATCCATTTTGTGGGTTCACCCTATGTTCACATACCCCCCAATAGAAGGGGTGGTTGTCCTGTTGGTTTCCCACATAATTACCTCAGAAAGGATAAACAACAAAAAACACATGCCCATGTTGATTGTCAGGACCATAGGTCTCCTTTTTGGGTCAGTTTGGATAGAAATTGATGGCGTTCACTGGCTTAGATTGGTTTTATGGCATCCATTTACCAGTTGGAAACCCATCTACTTTTGCAAAACTAGCTTGCCCAAAGCCGACCTTTGGTCCATTCGTAGAGGTCCCAAAAGGTCAACCTTTTAATGTCAGGTCCTTTGGGCAGCCCCTGGCAGCACCTATGATGTGTTAGTCCTGAGAAAAGGTCACCTATGGTGTCCTTTCCAGGTTACTTTGGATAAAAATCAAGGTGGTTTCCACTAGACCCCCAAAAAGTTAAACTCTTTTTGCAGAGGGGTCAACAGCAACCAAGACTGGTTTAGCTTGGTCTTATGGCATCCATGTGCCAGTTGGAACTCCATCCACTGTTGCAAAACTCACTTGTCAGGTCCTTTGGGCAGCACCTCTGGTCACCCTATGCACCTATGATTGCAAAACTCACTTGCCCAAAGCCGCTTATGATGTGTTCGTCCTGAGAAAAGGTCTGTGGTCAGGACTCCTCCGTGCAGCATGCCGCCACCTCCATGGCCGCCATGTTCGTGGCCGTGGCGGGCGTGCGCGCCCACGAGCGCCGCAGCACGGCGCGCCGGGCGGGCGCCTACACGCCGGCCACGCCGGTGGTGGCCAGCCCACAGGAGACCTACCAGGAGACCTGCCGGAAGACTCCTTTCTTTTTTGTGGCAAGGGTTCAACTATTTTGGGGGAGGGTTCCCCTACTAAAATAGACTACAAGGCTAAAGGGGGGGGGGTTTTGCTAACCTCTCGACTGGAACCCCTAGTCAACCAACCAAACAAGGATGCGGGTTCTTTTTTCCCATAGAAATCCACTGGGCATCTGAGTACCCCCGGCCAGCTTCACGCACTGCAAAGCGAGCTGCTCACTCCCCGTTGCAACCAGTGGATTCCGCGCTTTCAACTTGTTTTTGGGAAGGGTTCGCTTTTACACTCAACCAAGCAAAAATGGATGCCCTTGTTGGGCATGTGAGCTCCCTGAGTTCCTGGACTTTCAATTTTTGGGAAGACCATTTTAGGGAATGAGGGAATCACCCCAGAAATTCTCTCAAAACAAAACCAAGGTCCCTACTGAGCACGAGCAAGTTGCTCACTGCGGCAACCAGGGCAGCTGGTTGTTTTCTTCGTGCAGAACTCTCGGCCAGCCTGTGGAACCCCAGAAAGTGGCTCACCCACTGCCTGGCGGTTGGCTATTTTTGTTTTTGTTTTCACAAGTGGGTGTGGCTCAAAATTGAAAAGCTCGGGTTACGCAGTGTTTAGTCTTTGGTTCCATTTGCCAAGGTGCAAAATGTGGTGCAGTTTTTGAGCAGCCAAGTTGCCATCATGATCATATCACTGGGATTACCTCAGCTCTCGGAAAGCGTGAATCTTAAACCCAGGTTCTTTGCCAGGAGCTGAGATGGGGTTTGATGCTTTGAGTACACGGTAGACTAAAAGTGCGGGTGCTTTGCCTAGCCGATCGGGCTGGTGCGTCCACAAGTGGACAGGGGTACATGGGCGTGCCTTGAATAGGGGATTCCCCCAACTTGCGGTGTTCCTTTTGGCTTCCTTGTTCGAGCCACCCCAAAAAGGGTACTCTCAAGAAAGGTTTCCCTGTTTGGTGGTTTTAAGCACCACCTTTCACCCATGGATGAGTTTCCCTTGTTTTACGGGGACTTGTAGGGATCCCGTTTAGGAGATGGTGGACAAGTCGGAATACTTGCGTGACCAGCACTGGGTGAAGACGCTGCACGCGGGCGTCATGGGAGGCGCCTATGTGGGCATGGCGGGCCTGCTGTCGCTGATGGTGGGCGGCAACATCACCAGCAACTTCATCAACCAGAAGGCACACGGGTGCCCGCTTGTTGGAGTTGCCCTTTTCAGGCTTGGCTTTGTCGGGCCAAAAGGAACGCCTGGCAGCTTTCGGGCCCTATGTCCGAAACCAAGCGTTCAAACTTGTGAACTGTCGTCTTGGCTGGAAGGGGATTTCAAACCAGGCAAAATCATGCATACGGGTCCCTATTTGGGCAAGGTGAGTTTCCTGGGGTATCTTTCAGCAGGACCATCCGGGAGAGCCCCAAGCCCCTTAAATGGGTGGTATCAAAAGTTGGGAACAAGGAAACCCGGTATGATAGCAGCGATGTGTCTCCTTTTGTCTGGTTTTGGGAAAGGCCAACGTGTTTGCGAGCCTTCCTGTTGGTGGAATGGGATGTTCAAACGGAACAGAAAAGGAATGGAGGTCCATTTTCCCGCGCTTGGACCTCAAGGATAACCTCAAGGGTAACTTGGTGTCCTTTGGTCTCCCTGCTACTCGACGTGTCAATTCAGTGGAGCAACCCTGTTTCCGGACAGTCACTTTTCTAGCCCAGTTGTGTGGGGGGACGGTGATTCGTCCCAAAAGGCAGCGAAAAGTTAGACGTCGTTCTAGGCCCTTTTCTGGCTCTCTTGTTTGTTGGAGGGAGCCCTTTTCACCTTTAAAAGGACACCAACTATAAAAGGAGATCCACTTGGACATACCTGAAAAAGGAATCCACCATTAAAAGAACAGCTTGGTTGGGGGGGTCCGAAGCCCGACATTTTGACCCCAGGCGATCTTTGCGGCCTTGTTCCCCATCAACCTGCTGCTGGTGCTCCAGCCGCTCGCTCGAAGAGGAATTGATGTTTTTGTGGACCCCGAAGCCGAAAAAGCGGCCCCCCCATTCTGCTCTTACCTAGTGGTACCTATCCTCTGGCTGTTACCCCCCCATTGTCTGGACCCTCAGCAAACTCGGGAGGGGGCCGGGTTTTGCAGTCTGCTTTGTGATCTGCAAGGCATCCCTGAAATGCTGATGATGATGATGATGATGCTGATGATGATGAAGCCCAACGCTGTAGGTAACACCTTTCAGTTTTCATGAGGCACTGAAAAGTGGTCTTGGACAATCCCCATGTCCAAAGCTTCCCTTACCCCTGCCCTCTCGAGGACCGGGGGTCAGCTGTTCACCGGGAACTCGGCCACCATGGCGGTGGGAGTCTTCGAGAAGAAGGCCGGGGGTCCTCGCAGCTCGAAGCCGGGAACTGGCGATAGTAAAGAGTTTGGACTTGGTGAATCTCAGTGTATTATTGTGAGAGCGGGGGTTGGGCAACGTTTCTCTATTCCAAAACTTTGCCTGAAAGAACTATAGGGTGATGCAGGTGTGGATGGCCCACGTGAGTTATTGTTTTTTTTTGAGGCTTGGTTTGAGGATAGCGACATGGGGCGAGCACCAAGCCTCGTTTCCCCATTAGGAGTAGGGATCCCCCTTTTGACCGCAATTTAGTCAGAATATCGCATAGTTTGAACAGCTCCACGACTCGCCCAGAATGACGGTCATCGAAGGTGTCATGCCTATGCATTTCCGATTTTAAACAAAGCCGAGTCAGTCAGCAATGCCTTGGTATGAGGTGGAGTCAACCCCGGCTTTTCGCCATCGAGTTTCCCTTACGGGGATCCATTAAACGGTTCATTCCCTTCCATTTGCTTAAGATTATTTGTGATTCTCCCCCGGTTGGTTCAACAGGACTCTATCGCTACTGGAAGTATTTTGTGTGTTCTGTTCCTTTTTCCTGTGGACCTGAATCTACCACTACTGGAAGCATTTTGTTTGTTCCTTTTTCCTGTGGACCCAAGCAAACGGAAGTTTCAAGAACCCCCGCAAAAATCATTT